ATCGAATATCAGTTTTGTTAACCGATAATCGAGTACTAGGTTAACAGGTTACTCGTTGCCATCCCTAATTTAAACACATAAAATGTGTAAGCGGCCAAATAGCTCAGATGGAAGAGCCGCGGAATGGTATTCCGAGTGTCAGGGGTTCGAGTCCCTGCCAGGCTGTTACATATCAATACAAGAAAAGCATTGATGCAAAGCATCAAAGGGCGACGCCAAAAGAATTTGATCCAGGTTTGCACCTAAATACTTAACAAAAGATGTGTATTTATAGCAGTACCATTTCATGTGACCTGGAGGATATGCCCAGTTTAAGTTGAAACTTAAACCAAAAAGAAAAGACTCTGTCTTGCCAAGATGCAAAGACAATTTATAGTCAATTAACTAATCTTACTATTTATTTTTCCAAATACAAGGATACCTGAGTCATCATCATATAATCACAGGCACGAGTATCGGACCTGGGAAGAAAAAGTATGACCAGATTGATAAAAAAACTGTGTTCATCTTAAAAGTGTCAAAAACCAAAAAAAAAAAATGTAAATAATGACCCCCTTTAAAAATATACTATTAACTTAAAGTATATTTTTAAAGGGGGTCATTATTTACATTTTTTTGGTTTGTGACAATTTTAAGATGAACACAAGTTTTTTATCAATCTGGTCATATTTTTTCTTCCCAGGTCTGATACTTGTGCCTGTGCATATAATAAAAGCTTATTGCTTAGGTTGCAGACATGTCATTGACATATATTAGACATAAAAGAGGACCTAAAATGAACATCAGGGGGACACCATAGGTACTCAGAGCAGTAGTAGAAGGAGTACCAGCCACATCAACCAGCTGCTATCAGAGATAAGACTTGAAGCATGTAAGAATGTCATTACATATGGCAGAAACTTCAAGTTCCATGAAGAAGAAGAAAAATAACTTCTTCATATGCAGTATAGTGTGATCGACTGTATCAAATGCTTTTTGTAGATCTAAAAGTATCATGCAATACTGCCTTTGTCCATTTCAAATAAAATACAATCTATTAAATGAGTCAAACATGTGTCAGTTGAAAAACCACTTCTAAACCCTGACTTGAACTGCCTGACCATGACTCGAACCCATGATGTTCAGAAGACCAACTGAGCTATCCGGCCGGCTACACATTTTCTCTTTAATAATGAAATAGTTCTAAATCACAACATATTTCCCCACTCTATTGGTTTATGTCCTTGAATTTCTGATGTTTACAGAGCATAGTGAATTAAACTCATGGTTATATGCAGTCACTGGATGAGAAATCTTTCAGCTTGACCAGAACTCAAACCTGTGACCCACAGAATAATGTACCGCGGCTATAAGCGATTGAACTATCTAGCCGCTTACACATTCTCTGGCCTAAATAGTGAACAGTTCTAAACCGTGACAGATATTTAGATTTTTAAATTAACAGATAATTAATTCTTAATTAATAAATAAGAAATAAAAACCTTACATACTCATAGTCTTAATCAAAATAACAATTTATATATTATGTATAATTATTTTTACTAAAAAGGGCTTTAGACAATAAACTATTGGTTGTGCCATTATTTATAACAGGTCAATTTGAAAGTGAACATAACTGTGCTAATACATGTACAATATCTATTTTTTGTACGGATAAAAAACTCACCCTTTTTCTATGGTAAGAAATTTTATGAAGGCTGATTTGTATTTTGCATCAAGGGCACTGGGCGAAAACATGAAAATGCAACAAACACACCACTTTGTGTCTGGCGCCCGGTTACTTTTTTGTACTTTGTTGGTTTTCATGTGGCAAAAATCACCTGCTATAAAATTTTGTGTACAAATTTATTCAAGGGCAAGTAATAATCTACTCTATGAAAAGTCTGTTGTCGGGTTGACTCAGGAGACCTAAGCTTGGAAATTGAGACCGGTGTCCCTCCATTACAAATAGATAAGACAGAAGCTGTCCTTTTCAATCTATGCACATGTTAGAAAAAAATTAGAATAACCATTCAAAAAATGATTTTTTGAGACTTTATCAATTATATTGCTTGATCCAAGTTTCAGGACATTTTCAATCAATACATGTTTTATCATTTATAACTTTAAATGAAAGTCTCATCCCTTTAATAATAATGAAACTGTAACTCTTTAAATTCAGAAATATTATAAGTCTCATCATATCAACATAGTAAGATATACATGTATGCACATAACATTAATAATTCCCAGTTTCTATTAAATAAATATGAAATCCTAACATTAACATTGGTACTAATGGATGGAATTCAAAATCTAGTAGAATATATAAACTCTGTTATAGATACTATTATTAGCCAGCTAACACTGAGTATAAACAACTATAACCTGTAGACTGATCAATACATGTATTATCATTTATAAATTTAAATGCAAGTCTCATCCATCATAACTGTAAGTCTTTAAATACAGAAATACACATTATATCCATATACTATGATACACTTGTATGCACATTACATTAATAATTCTCAGGTTCCATTAAAAATGAATATAACATCCTATTGACAGGAATTCATAATCTATAACGTGTACACATGATATTGTATAGTATAAAAGTAAAAAAAAATCTCAAATAGTCTGTATCATGTGATACAGATTAAGTTGTGTTAGTGTCTAAAAATTAAATGCATATCTCTTACAGTAACAAATACTGTCCCTCTTTTAACCTTCTATTAGACTTTACTATACAATGTATAACTAATTGCTTATAATGTAATCAAGTGTTTAAAATGAGCACCTATATGTGTAGCTTAAATATTCTACCTTTCATTTTTACCAAAGGTTATTTTAGTAACAATTCATATACAAACACATAGAAAATAATAATTTCACATAGTGATTAGAAGATGCCTCTAGCAGAATACCTATAGGTATGTACCAACTGAACAAACTAGAAAAATCTGGTCTAGGGTATATCAAGCCAGTAAAAATATATATCAATATTCACTCATCAGGGCCTCTCTGCTTTTGATGACCTTACAACTGGTAAATTTTATAAAAAAAAAACATAAAATAGTAAGTAATACTAAAGATAGAGTAGACAGAGTAGACAGAAAAGAACAAATAATTTAGTAAACATGAGTTACTTCCCCTTAAAAGAGAGAAAACCTGAAACCCAAAAGAACACCCTAAACATTAAAATTACGAAATGTTGCAGGCTCAGTCAGTTTTATTAAGCCATGCAAATTAATGGTAAAGTATTCATAAAAAATAGATGACCATGTGACAGCAGTTATTGCAGAAAATCGGATAGCTTTCAACATCCGGATACTGGTACACTTTGTAAAAACAACCATTCTGTGCAACAGATCAACGTAATATGGATAAAATCAATAGGATAATCGTTAACAACAGTTCATTACCTATCCTTATACTCATTTGCAGGTGAACTTTCTTCTTGTAAGAAAATTTTGAAAATATATAAATGAATGAACGAAATGGATACGGCATCAATGTAGACCACAACGATAATCGAAATCCGGGTTTTAGTATTGTCAATAAAACTAAGGGACAAGCTGTTAAACTCAGCCTGCAATTTCGTGAAAATAATATCACAATGCACATGCTTTTTATATAAAGTTATTAAATACAAATATAACAACATATTTGTTTACTTGATTTTTACGAATCAAAATAAATCTAATTAACTCAACATGAAATTAACTGCTATTAATAACAGCTCCTTCCATAGGCAAAAATAAAAAGCATTCCATATAAGACGACGCCGCTCACCGGCGTCGCCAATAAATCTGTTTAGAAAAATGGGAAGGAACTGTCTAAAATAAATATCACCCTAACTAGGATTCAGACAGTCTTTGATGAAACGTAATGACGTAATAATATGAATTGGTAAAGGGGATGGGGGCGGTGTTTTAAGTCTGATTTACCACCACATATGATGCCTGACGAACCACTTATGGTATATATTGGTACGCATATAAACACCTGTTTGCTGAATTGAATATCAAAAATGTTGCAATTAAAATGTATATAAATCAAAAGCGTATGTAAAATAGGATTAAAACTAATCTTCAGCGTAGTAAGCACATAGAAATCTCAGGTATTCACCACGAGGTCACAAACTTTAAAACTTTAATGTAAATATCACAATAATATTTCTTTATATAATATTTCTTTTCTTTGACAGGGACACTGAACATCTTTAACAGGTTTATGAAACCCAAAATTTACAAAATATATCTATCTAAGATATTCTTTTACTTCTCAACAGACGCATGACACAGTACTTAAATGTTTAGACGAACGCAAAACGTTTCATGGAATAACAAACGCACACTTTCAAACGCACGAATAGATACATTTTCCCTTCAGCGAACATGATAAATGATGCATAAAAAAACAATTGTTTTTTTCTATTTTCAGTGTATATAAAAACCTTCTTATTTCAATAATAAAAGATAAAAAAAGTGCCAAAATGCTAGGTTCTTATCCAAAATTCCAATTAAAATCTAAATATTTATTTTTTTGGCTTTACTTAGTTTTTTTCATCATACTGTGGTCTGACTTTGCACAAGATATGTGAAAATTGTTCTTACACAAAAAATAACTATTCTTAGGTATTTAAAGAGTTCCCTCTTGCTTGTGTTTTATTACACACTGTTCTCAGTTGCAGGTGATTTAGTACTTACTGTCCTCAATTGGTTTTCAAGTGGAATATTTTTTTTAATGGCAAATATTTTTTTTAACACCTGCATCATACATGTATTAGCATACTGTTAATTCACAGAGAAGGCAGAGAATATTGTTTTCTTTATAGACTTTGTGTTTTGGTCATCATTTTGAAAACTGATTTTCTATTATTGATAACTGGTCACTTTTTGAGAGAGCTATTGATACATTTTGAAATGAGATAGGATATATGACATTATAGCCTAATAATTATAGTAATTGTTGCCTGAATATTTCTTATAGCATGTTTTTGTTTGCTTGTATTGTAGATATTGGAGAATATGATGATATAAATGATGACATAAATAATGCCATAAATAGTAGCAACATAGCTGATACCAATGAAGTGTCTACCAACAAACTTGATGAGGTTAAAACCCATGAAGCTATCAATGAATATGACGGTATTTGTCTTATTAGCATATATTCTGTTTTCTTACAGGGCCCAATATTTAAACTAGTCGAAAACTACTAGACTTTTAGTTTCACAATTAATATAAATGCAAGAGTTTATTTAACAGCTGAATATTTATAATAATAGTTATTGTATTATGTATTATGATTGTGCTCACAGTACTTAGGCCATAGAAAAAAAAATATGTCTGATTCTCATCCCTGTCCGCCCCACTCAGTTAGATTCCTCTCTGATAGATACATTTTCCCTTCAGCGAACATGATGCATAAACAAAACCAATCATTTTTTTTATTTTCAATGTTTATAAAGTCCATCTTATTTCAATAATAAAAGAAAAGTAAAAGTGCCCTGACCTGCTGGGATCTTATCCAAAATTCCATTGAGAATCTAAATGTTTATTTTCTTTGGCTACATCATACTGTGGTCTGACATTGCACAAGATTTGTGAAAATTGTTCTTACACAAAAAATAATTATTCTTATACATTTAAAGAGTTCTCACTTGCTTGTGATTTATTACACACTGCTCTCAGTTGCAGGTGATTTAGTATGTACTGTCCTCAATTGGTTTTCAAGTGGAACATTTTTTTTTAATAGCAAAAAATATTTTTTACACCTGCATCATACATGTATTAGCATACTGTTAATTCACAGCGATTAGGCAGAGAATACTGTTTTCTTTATAGACTTTGTGTTTTTTTCATCATTTGGAAACTGGTTTGCTAATATTGATAACTGGTCATTTTTTGAGCGAGCTATTGATACATTTTGAAATGAGATAGGATATATGACATTAAAGCCCAATTATAGTAATTGTTGCCTGAATATTTCTTATAGCATGTTTTTGTTTGCTTATATTGTAGATATTGGAGAATATGATGATATAAATGATGACATAAATAATGCCATAAATAGTAGCAACATAGCTGATACCAATGAAGTGTCTACCAACAAACTTGATGAGGTTAAAACCCATGAAGCTATCAATGAATATGATGGTATTTGTCTTATTAGCATATATTCTGTTTTCTTACAGGGCCCAATATTTAAACTAGTTGAAAACTACTAGACTTTTAGTTTCACAATTAATATAAATGCAAGAGTTTATTTAACAGCTGAATATTTATAATAATAGTTATTATAACCCCAAAAACGAGGTTTGGGGGGGTATATAGGAGTCACCTGGTGGTCGGTCGGTCGGTCAGTTGGTCGGTTGGGCGGTCGGTCGATTCAGACGTCCGTTGCATTTTCCTTGTCCGGAGCATAACTTGAAAACTAATAGTTGGAATTCAATATAACTACATACAATGGTCAAGCACATTGAGAGGAAGTGCAGTGCACAAGAACCATAACTCTATCATGACTAATTACAGAGTTATTGCCCTTTGTTACTTTTCCTTGTTCTGGGCATAACTTGAAAACTACTGGTTGGAATTCAAAACAACTTCATACAATTGTCAAACACAATAAGGGGAAGTGCAGTGCACAAGAACCATAACTCTATCTAAAGTAATTACAGAGTTATTGCCCTTTGTTGCTTTTCCATTGCCTTTTTTTTGTTGTCCGGACCATAACTTGAAGACTAATGGTTGGAATTCAATATAACTACATACAATGGTCAAGCACATTGAGAGGAAGTGCAGTGCATAAGAACCATAACTCTATCTAAAGTAATTACAGAGTAATTGCCCTTTATTACTTTTCCATTGCTTTCTTTTGTCCGGAACATAACTTGAAGACTAATTGTTGGAATTCAAAACAACTTTATACAATGGTCCAGCACATTGAGAGGAAGTGCAGTGCACAAGAACCATAACTCCATTTTGACTTATTACAAAGTAATTGCCCTTTGTTACTTTTCCATTGCTTTCTTTTGTCCGGACCATAACTGGAAAACTTATTGTTGGAATTCATTATAACTTCATACAATGGTCAAGCACATTGAGAGGAAGTGCAGTGCATAAGAACCATAACTCCATCTTGACTAATTACAGAGTTACTGCCCTTTGTTACTTTTTCCTTGTCCAGAGCATGACTTGAAAACTACTGGTTGGAATTCAAAACAACTTCATTCAATAGTCAAGCACAATAAGGGGAAGTGCAGTGCACAAGAACCATAACTTCATCTTGATTAATTACAGAGTTATTGCCCTTTGTTAATTTTCCTTGTCCAGAGCATAACTTGAAAACTACTGTTTGGAATTCAGTACAACTTCATACAGTTGCTAAGGACATTCAAAGGAAGTGCAGTGCACAAGAGCCATAACTCCATTTTGACAAAATACAGAGTTACTGCCCTTTGATACTTTTCCTTGTCCGGAGCATAACTTTAAACGTACTGGTTGGAATCCAAAACAACTTCATACAATGGTCAAGCACAATAAGAGGAAGTGCAGTGCACAAGAACTATAACTCTATCTTCAGTATTTATAGAGTTATTGCCCTTTGTTCTTTTTCTTTGTCTTTCTGGACTTATTACAGAGTAATTCAATTAAACTTCATCAATGGCCAACCACATTGAAAAGAAATGCAACATACATGAACCACAGTTATCTTTAATTGCCCACAACCATAACTCTATGTTTCAATTCTTTTACAAGGTATTCTGTTACTAGTAACATCCTCATTTCCGAAGCAGACTTGTGGGGGTATTAATCACATTTAGTGATAGTTCTAGTTGTATTATGTATTATGATTGTGCTCACAGTACTTAGGCCATAGAAAAAAAATATGTCTGATTCTCATCCCCGTCCGCCCCACTCAGTTAGATTCCTCTCTGATAGATACATTTTCCCTTCAGCGAACATGATGCATAAACAAAACCAATCATTTTTTTTTATTTTCAATGTATATAAAGTCCATCTTATTTCAATAATAAAAGAAAAATAAAAGTGCCCTGACCCGCTGGGATCTTATCCAAAATTCCATTGAGAATCTAAACGTTTATTTTCTTTGGCTACATCATACTGTGGTCTGACATTGCACAAGATATGTGAAAATTGTTCTTACACAAAAAATAATTATTCCAATGTATTTAAAGAGTTCTCACTTGCTTGTGATTTATTACACACTGCTCTCAGTTGCAGGTGATTTAGTGCGTACTGTCCTCAATTGGTTTTCAAGTGGAACATTTTTTTTTTTTAATAGCAAAAAATATTTTTAACACCTGCATCATACATGTATTAGCATACTGTTAATTCACAGCGATTAGGCAGAGAATACTGTTTTCTTTATAGACTTTGTGTTTTGGTCATCATTTCGAAAACTGGTTTGCTATTATTGATAACTGGTCACTTTTTGAGAGAGCTATTGATACATTTTGAAATGAGATAGGATATATGACATTATAGCCTTATAATTATAGTAATTGTTGCCTGAATATTTCTTATAGCATGTTTTTGTTTGCTAATGTATTGTAGATATTGGAGAATATGATGATATAAATGATGACATAAATAATGCCATAAATAGTAGCAACATAGCTGATACCAATGAAGTGTCTACCAACAAACTTGATGAGGTTAAAACCCATTGAAGCTATCAATGAATATGATGGTATTTGTCTTATTAGCATATATTCTGTTTTCTTACAGGGCCCAATATTTAAACTAGTCGAAAACTACTAATTTAGGTCTGCACTGACAATAGCGTCGAAATGTTTATCTTCTCAGTATTCTCTATAAAAAATAAAAAAATATCTTAACATCCTACCTAATTATTCAAAATTATAGCAAGTTTTACTAAAATAGAAAGAAGAAACTCGAACATGCATGAGAGAGTTTGAGTCAAAAAGGCATTTTTACTAGCAAACCATTATTTATTAATAAAAAAAATCATTATTGTTCAACTGAAGTTAAAAATGATGACTCATAAGGTTATAAATTTTACAAACCACTCCACATTAGAGCAAGACTACATTCTACAAAGATTTAATAAGCTTTTATACATGATTATAATGTTTTCTAATTTTTAAGAAATGAATTTGATTACTATATTGGCTCAATCAAGCTCTACTTAGAAACCCACACAATAAATACAAGCGATAGCGTCTCTAGTAGAATAAATAGAAAAAGATTCAGAACCAATAGCAAAAATTTACCTTGAAAATGAAAGATTTTTTGGTAGTCACTAGAATACAAAATAAGCTGCGCTTCTTTCCGTAAAGTAACTCGTTCCGATTTTATTCTAATAAGGTTCTTAAAGATTTGTCTAATTTTTGTCCATAATGGTCGTTTGCGTCTGTGCAGACGTCATAATTCGATAAAATAAAACAGTATTGCGAAACCCAATGGTGGTTGCGATGGGATATAGGTTAAAAAATATCTATTTACCCACTCTCTTACATTTCTCGGATACGATCTTTTATGGTTCGGGCTAGCAAGCTTTACCACTTTTCCCCTGCGTAAAGGAAAACCTTTCACAAAGAAATGCCAACAGTACTACATGTTTTCCAAATAAACGATATTGCCCCTCAATCCGTTAACCTAAGAAACAGAAACGATTTGAAAGCATGACAGATAAACAACATTGTTCCTTGCTTTTCACACCTCAGAAAGAGAACAGCCAAGGCCCGTTCAATAATTAGGGTCCTAAAACAAACACATAAAAGTTAGACACCAGTACACAAAACCAACATCAATAAAACAATCCACCGTATACACTCCGCTTCTGAGCACATTAACTGAGAGAACACGAGATCCGCTCAAAAATCAAAACAAAACACAAAATGGAAAAATAATCAAAAAATTATTATAAGAAATAATAATGCTATATCATGCGCAACATTGGCTTAATCCCATTAAAACAACAACCCATAAGACTTACCCATACCTTCTTATGCTTCCAAATAATCATTCCATTTAAACTTTCCCCACCGTCTCGCAATTCAACCAAAAAATGCTAAAAAGAAATTAACCCCGAGGCAGTGAAGTTGATATATTAAGATAAAAAGTAAAACGATGTTCCAAATAATAACAAACAAAAGTTAGTTTTGGGTAGACCCCAAAATACATATAAATTATTTGAGGTAATATACGGTAACCGAGAAATCAAAATAAATAACAACGAACTGATGCGTCCACCAAAATATAGCTTCCTTAAACATTGAAACTATTCAATGTAAAACAATAAATCATAGAAATCTAGCATTTCTGTTTACAGACACTCAACCCCAACACTCACCCTAGGACCATTTTTTGTCAGACACTTACACCCCCAGACAGTTTCACCACCCTTTCTGAGAATAATAAATTTGATTGAGAACACTCACCCCCCCGTTAATATATTGTTTTAAAAAATATCTTGTAAAAAATATATAATTTTTAAAAATATTCAATATGACATCGGATATTGTTTAACATTTATTCAATTTATCATAAAAACCAAACACCAAAATAGAAAAGGCAAAAATGATGTGTTTCTGCTCCTAAAAAGGCTGGACCATAGACAATAATTATTCACCACAAGAGCTAAATATCCCTTATTTTTATTCATTATATTATATAAAATTATACTAAAACTTTCTGAGTATTAACAGTGCAAGTAAATCACTAATTAAAATAATCTTATCTATTGAAGTGTAACCTAAAAATAAATCGAATCATCTTATCTACCTTGGATATTATATTTAACTAAAAGTATATATTATCTGTTTAACACTTCCTTGGCACTTTTATTGACGAAGTTGACTTTAAAATAGCAAAACGTAGAACAAAATGGAACTGGCCCACACATAGCATTTCGCACACAGTACAGTTTAGCTTATTTGTAGCCCAACGAAATGGTTACACAATAAATTATTAATGTTTATATATTATGTTCTGAACAGTACTAAATATACAATATTTACTCTTTCGAAATGTTGCTAGATACCTTCTATATTGAAAAAAAACTAAACAACAATAATAAAAAACAGTTAATAGCATTATCGTCGCTTATTTACTTTCTAGAAAAAAAATGGATGAGGGAAGATTTTACGATTTGAGGGGTAAGTGTACTCAAGGGGGTGAAGTTGCCTCCAAAATATGAGAGTAAGTGGTCAAGGTGAAGTTTAATGCCATACCCTATTTTACGACAGGAAAAAACACCACGTGCTATGGTTAATTTGTAACTAAAGAGTAAGATTTAACAAGAAGTCTTGAATACAACGAAATGAGGGAAACATCTGAAAAATAAAAAATTCAAAACAAAAATCAAAACGAATTTATATATAAAGAAATATTTTACGTTTACGATCAGTCATCTTAATGTGTTAAAATTTTTGTAAATTATCAAAAGTTTTATATTATATATATGAATTGAAATGGAATTTTACAGTTAGTTGCAAAAAATAAAAACATCAAGACAAATTTTCTATACTATAACTTATCTGTTTGTGAGCGATACACTTGCTAATCCTGCTTCCTCTAGATCAATATGCCGCAACGGGAATCATCCATAAAAAGCGCAGAGCATGTTACCTCAAATATCGCAATTTTGACATGTAAAGAAATCGTTTTCGCAAGAATCCCATGAAACTCAAAATGATGGCCGTTCTAGATATATGTGATTGTGAACAAACTTATTATAACATTTTACATATCATTTGCTAACCCATAACTCCACAAAATAAAATTTATAGACCATAAAGGAAATCTAATTTAGTTATTATAAATAAATCGAATCGGATCATCAAAAATGTAGTTAGTCTATGTACATCATCGTTCTATTTTAGAAGAATTCTGAAAACAAAAGTGATATGAACTGGATAGAAACTGAAATGAAAGAATCTTCAAGAAGCGAATTTGTCGTTGACTTTAATAAATGTCAAATAGGCATTCTATTCACTTAAAATGGTAAGTAGATTTCTAGAAACTTAACTGCCATTCGATGTACTTCACGTTCTTAGTTGCTTATTTTTTATTTTAAAGTTCCAATCAATGCATATAACTGTACACCTTACACTCTTTACGATCAGTCTGAGATAATAATTATCATATCTTAAACGAGCCCCTATGACCTCATGTATTAAGAAACAAACCGCTTCTCCCGTCTATACTCAAAGAAAAGATCTTCTCGTCAATGGCTACGGAAAACAATATAACAACAGATTATTTCCATAATATGAACCTCAAATTTCTTTCAAAAAAAAGTAGACACTTAAGTAAAACTCATGAAAATCTCGAGGGTGACGTCTTTTTTTAGTTTACAAAAAAGTTTATTTTTTGTAATTCAATCGTCGTTTGTTAATCTCATACCAGGCAAGTTCAATCCATTTTAATGGACCGCCTATAGATTTTAGCTGGATTATACATATAATGGGCATGCAGTCTTACTACGCCTCGGCGTCGCCTCCCGCTCCAGACTTTTAGATTAACGTTTTGGCGTAAAAATTTTTCATCATACTTGTCATTTTAAAGGTACAACTTCAAAACCAAATATATGTCTTATCACAACCACATTATTCTGACAAGATCTACTCACCTAGCACCACATATTTAGATTTACTCCCCTTGACTTAGAATTTTCCATAAAAAATACTGAATCTTTAATGAGTTACAATTGCGTTCTTATTCTAAAGGATCAACCTCTATACTTCAAATATATCTGTTTACCTATCATCATCCCATCTATCTGCACAGGTCATAACTCTAGCACCAAATATTTTCCAGATTTATCTCCCCTTGAACTTAAGAAGAGTCCTTCACAAAAAATGCACTCTTACTCTAATCCTTCTAATAATAATCTAGGATTAATCCCTTCTCATTATTGATAGAGATATAGTTTCTACGTAACTCAACATCCCCAATACCTTGATGTGTGAATCAAGGCGTTTAATTAATAATCTATGCACGTAGTAATTCAACCAATTTACACACTCATCTTTTGAAACTATAAATTTACCATAAAAAAAATATTATTTATTATACTGTACTAGTTAATATATTGCGAGAGCAGCACTTTCATACTTTTCAAGGTGAGAAATCACTTACTGTTATTCCCTATCAAACTCAATGAACCATCATCTTGAATGTAAACAATAAAGGTTTGTATTATACTCTATGCTACCTATGACTTTGTACTAGCACAAAGCGTCATCATATCTCACCATACTGTATATTCTTTTTTCTAGATACCTTAAAAAGTAAAGAAGTTATAATATTTCTTAAAGAAAATCCTAAGTTCAAAGAAAGATAAATCTGTAAATATTGCTTTCAAGAGTTATGAAAATTGTCACTTAAAATGTAATTGATGATAAGGAATAAGTATTTGAAGTTTGAGGTAGATACCTTTAAAACTAAAAAAGTTATAGTAAAAAATAACATTTTTCTAGTAAAAAAAATCTAAGTTTATGGGGAGATAATTCTTGCAATATTAGTGCTAGAGTTATGAACCTTGCCACATAAGATGTGGATGATGATAAGTTACATATATTTGAAGTATGAAGTTGATCCCTTTAGAAATAAATAAGTAACAGTAAAAAATATTATTTTTTAAGGAAAATTCTAAGTTCAAGGGGAGATAAATCTGAAAATATTAGTGCTAGAGTTATGAACCTTGTCACATAAGATGGGGATGATGATAAGGTACATATATTTGAAGTATGAGGTTGATCCCTTAAGAAATAAAGAAGTAACAGTAAAAAATAGTATTTTTTAAGGAAAATTCTAAGTTCAAGGGGAGATAAATCTAAAAATATTAGTGCTAGAGTTATGAACCTTGTCACATAAGATGTGGTTGATGATAAGGAACATATATTTGAAGTTTGAAGTTGATACTTTAAGAAATGACAAAGTTATAGTGAAAAATATTTTACTGCACCAAAACTTTAATCTGAAATCTGGACGCGGACGCCGACGCCGGGGCGAGTAGGACAACTCTCCATATACTTTGTATAGTCGAGCTAAAAATCACAACATAACTAAACCTTAACACTTGTGTTATGTTTAAAAAATACTTTTCAAAGGTTGTATAAGCAAAAGTTCAAAAAATGTTTTCTGCACTTGTGACCTTGACCTAAGTGTCATCTTACTCCAATGAAAATTATAGTTCAAGGAATCTGTTAAAGAAATTTATCAACAAATAAGAATAATAAGAATTCAGTCAATAAACAAGAGTTTCATGAGCAGAAGTGTAAAAATATATTTTAAGCATGAGTGACCTTGACGTCTGTGACCCCACCAACTTATGCTGTCATCAAAAATACATGTACTATTAAACAGCATCCAAGTTAGTTAAGCCATGGTAAAATATAGCCTATAAACACTTATTTTGACAGACATAAAATAAAAGATAACCTGTTTAAACTGAATATGACTTTTGCCGTTTACCTTCCACAGCTAATTTAAAATTTACACCAAGAAAAGCTAGAACAATTTAGTAAAACTTTCAGCCATTTATTAATTATCTGTTCTTTATCTTTGATAATGAAATACCTAGATGCCCCCATACAGAGGCAGTGTGTATATTCAAGCTGTCTGGCCAGGCTCTATACAACTAAAAGCTCAATCTTATTATTATTATTATTATTATTATATAAGGAGCAATCTAAGATAGCTTAAGGAGCAATCTAAGATAGCTTACAGAAGATCTTAGATTCTATTCATGTATTAATCTGTAAGAAATATTGGATGAAGGAGCATCAAAGATCTTCCATAGTAACTCAAACTACAAAAAGATAACAAAATACTTACGTGAAATAGGGTGAAGCCTGTATAGTACTATTTAAGTATGAATTATCTAGTGAATGTCTCTTATAAACAGAATCTCTTCTGTCATCACATGGTGTACTGGGAATAAATGACGTGTCTGGACTGTAAATAATCAAGTAAATCATTTTACTATTGAGATATATTTAGACATATGTACACCAATAACATGTATATAATTCGTCACCTTAGTGCAGTAACGAGTTAAGACCTTCTCAATTTAATAGGTGTTGACCAGTTATTGCACTAGGTGACAATATTATCTCTTACCAAACTTAATATCTTAATTGTACTTGTCCATCTTTCAAAATGGCCAAACCATTCATTATATTTTAGAAAGAAGTAAAGTAAGTTCTTACTAAAAAGCAAACAATGCATACAATCATCAATGCCAGTCAATCTTGGTCTGCACTGGTCAAATGCAGATAAAACAGATATATAATCATAACAAAACTTATTATCAGACAAAATAAACAAATTGCTAAAACTGTATAAAATATAACCATTTCATCTCAATATAATATTTGAATTAAATTAGTAAATTAACATTCTTTGAAAACTATCATTACTAAGGGTAGAAACATTTTTTCCCTAATTTTGTATTCTGTTAACAAAACAGAGATATGGAAATTTTACAAAATGAACTTTCTGGTTAAAATTCAAAAACAACTATTTCAAGAAAGGTTCAATATCTTTAATATTCTGGTATATACATATACTTACCTCACTTTTGGCATTTCTTTGATCATTTTCTCAGTAAAGTTTGACATGGACGTGAGAAAGTCAGAGAACACATCAAATGTTTGTACCTTCGATCTTACCCATCTTGACAAACCTATTAAAACACATAAAACACACAATGGAACTATATAATAATGATTAAAATTATTTTCTTTGAACTCTAAATTTGATTTCTAAAAACCTGATTATTTCTGTATTTCCAAAAACATACTCATCTGCTATAAATATTAACTTTCTTTTGCTTGCTATTCCTGTTGAATTTATTTTTTTGTATGAAAGTTAAAATACTACTTTGTTTACATTTTTGCTACCTTTACAACACATAACTACATCTTCAGCGTTACTTAAAAACACAAATTTCTGAGGCATAATGTGCCTTTAAGTTCTTTGAATGCTTGACATAATCACATGAATTTTTTGTTTCTTTCTGGTCTTCTAAATAATGGAGTCAATAATAAGTGCAACATGGTCAATGATGGACAGGGAAAGCATTTGTATTTAGAATAAAGAATGCAAGAATTGGATTTTAAAATTGTCTGGACTGGACAACAATCCTTAAAGAGGAAAATTGTTTGAACTTGACAATATGCTAGATTATAGAGTATATAGATTAGGAAGTTTTTACTGTACTTACTCTTGCAATATTTTTCTGTTCTTTTAACAAATCTATCATCAACAATGATCAAGGCTCCCCAGTCTTTTCTGTAAGATAAACAGAACATTCTTACATAACACAACATAATTTTAATTTTCTGTGGAGAATCAAAGTTTTTCTTTAATAACTTAGATATAGGTCAATGAGAAAAATCAAAAGAACATTTAATATTTCTAAAATTGAATAAACTTCAAAAGTATCCCAATCTATATATATACCTACCAAATATTTTTAAACATTATAATTTTATTAAGTTTGTATGAACTTACCTGTGTCTTATACACCTTCCTAGAGCCTGGTTTAATGCCCTAAATGCCTGGATTTCATACCAGTCACCTCCACTTAGAAGTCCTCTATCAATCTTATGTTTGTCGTTGTATTCTCTTTTAAGCTTCACCTGGACATCTTTAAAGCTAGGATAAGGTATTCCAACCTATAAACAAATAAACATATATCAACACTAAAGTTAGGATAAGGTATTCAAACCTTTCAATAGATAAACTTATATCAATACAAGAGCTATCACGCAAGAGATGAATGCCCCCCCCCCCCCCCAAAAGGTTTCTTTAGCATGCAGGTATTATGAAAAGAAATGAGAATGAAAGTCACTAATTGCTTAATATTTTTCTTTGTATTATTGTACCTATAATATCTAATTGTGATAGCGTGAACCTTCAAAAGTGTGATCTTGACCTTTTAAAAAGGGACGTGGTTCCTGGACGCGACAGAATGTTGTCATGCAATAGACATTTGTGCCAAGTTATTTCAAAATCCCTCAATGCATGACAAAGTTACAGTCTGGACATGATTGTTGTGTAAGTGGGGAAACATGGTCAAAAAGACTGACATGAGCCTTAGCCGCGACACATGGTCTTGATGTGGTAGACATTTGTGCCAAGTTATTCTAAAATCCTTCCATCCATGACAAAGTTACAGTCCGGACATGAATGTGTATCTTCAAACTCTTCGTAATTTGTCAAAATGGTGTAATGGTTCTTGTGCACTGCACTTCCTCTTGATGTGCTTGACGATTGTATGAAGTTGTATTGAATTCCAGCTAGTAGTTATCAAGTTATGTGCCGAACAAGGAAAAGTAACAAAGGGCAATAACTCTGTAATTAGTTTAAATGGAGTTATGGCTCTTGTGTACTGCACTTCTTCTCAATGTGCTTGACCAGTGTATGAAGTAATATTGAATTCCAACAATTAGTCTTAAAGTTATGGTCCGAACAAAAGAAAGCAATGGAAAAGTAACAATAGCAATTATTCTGTAATTACTTAAGATAGAGTTATGGTTCTTGTGCACTGCACTTTCCTTTATTGTGCTTGACCAATGTATGATGTTTTGAATTCCAACCAGTAGTTTTTAAGTTATGCTCCAAACAAGGAAGAGAAACAAAAGGCAATAACTCTGTAATCATTGAAGATGGAGTTATGGTTCTGGTACACTGCACTTCCTCTGAATTTGCTTGACCATTGTATGAAGTTGTATTTAATTCCAACTAGTAGTCTTCAAGTTATGTTCCGGACAAGGAAAATGCAATGGGACCGACTGACTGACCACCAAGTGACTCCTATATACCTTCTCAAACTTTGTTTCCAGGGTATAAATACATAATTATATATCAATATAAAAGCTAGGATAAGGTGTTCCTTCCTATAAATTGATTATCATATACAAATATTGAAGCTAGGATAAGGTAAACCAACCTATATACAAATACAAAAGAGGTTGAAAAAGTACTAGGACTGCCGCTTTACTGCTTACATCTTTCATTTTAATTAAGTATAATCAGGGCTGGTTTAGGCTGCTTGGTCCCATCCTCTTTTTGTCATTCCTATATATACAAGAAATATGAACCTAATTTTTGGTGACCAAAGATTACATAATACTATTTTGGAGTTAATGTTATTGCAGATAAGAATGGGAGACTTACTGTAATAACAGCTCTGGCATTGTCATCAGCAAAATCCATCCCCTCGCTAACTTTACCGCGGCATACAGCAAAGAATAGAGCGCCATCTATCTCAGAGTCATCATCATTACACTCAGCTGTAATGTGTGTCAAAAATATAATATCTTCACTACTCTTATTTTACAATACTTGACAGTATGTTTGACATTGTAATATTTTTGTGGCTATGAAAAACAGGTCTTATTCACCAATATAGTATTGAGCAGTATGGACTGCTGAGTAAAATTCAATTTTCCTTTACTTGGTTCAAAAGATACATAGCAGACATGAAATTGCTAACAGACAGACAGATAGACAAACATTCTTTCCGAGTTTACACTATGGTTTCTTCTTTGAACACTAAAAGCCCCATAAGCAACCACTTTCCAACCCATAAACATTTTTCCCTCACAAATTTAAATACAGTATGTAAGGAATAAATATGGACATTCATCCTTGATGATCCTTGAATTAATCTTGATCTTTGTTGTTATTTTTTTTTTTGTCTTGATATGAAATTTTTGTATGCATAAGTCAATTTTTTAATGTTATAATCATAAATAAATGCACAACTATTGATGATACTGATCACTCCTGTGTAGTTTCACTTAAATCTCCCACAGCTTTTTTTGAGATGGTGCGCAGACAAGACTTTCTATTTATACCTCTGGTGGCCATTTTGTGCAGGGGAGGGATATGAAAAACTAGGGATGATACTGATAAATTTCAGACGTTTTGGAGATGAAGCGCGGACAATAATTTTTATTTATAGCTCTGGCTGCCATTTAATGCAGCTGAGCAGAATGTGCCAGCGAAATGCACAACTAGGGATGCTAGTGTTCATTCCTGTGAAGTTTTACTGAATTCCCCGACCCCCAGTGGTTTTGAAGATGAAGTGCGGACAAGATGACCGGATGGACGGACACAGACAGACAAAGCTGCCACTATATGCTTAGCGTTCAGGGAGCATAATAAATCAAACTGAATTCCATAAGAGTCTGCACAACTAGACAAACAATCTTGTAAAGTTTCGTTGAAATCCCCACCAGCTGTTTTGGTGATGAAGCGCGGACAAGCTTACTTTACTCGAAAATTGACCATTACGTGGCCATAACTGTTCCAAAAAAAATCAAGCTGAAACTCAAGAGAGTATGTACAACTAGGCATGGTGACAAACAATCTTGTGAAGCTTCACTGAAATCCCCCATCTGTTTTGGTGATGAAGCGCGGACAAGATTACCAGACGGAAGGACGGACAGTGCGATTACTATAAGCCGTCCTTCGGGTGCATATAATTTCGTTCAGTAAAATTTTAGACAATTTTTCTAAGATTTGGTTCATACAATCAACGTGAAGAATGGATGTTTTTTTGTTGATCCTGTAGCCCATACCCAAAGATATATGAAAAAGGGGTGAATGGAGAATCTGTTTAATAAATGTCAAGTCTATCTTGATAAATCTCACTATGCATACCAATAGAATGTAGTTAATGAGACGTTAATAAGAAAACAATAAATGTTTTAAACAGATACAGTTGCTGATAGGTTGCTCCTTTTCAGCTGTTTTAATCGTTTAACATCTTTCTTTTATGAATCTAACTTACTTAATAACTTAACAGCCAAAAAAGTCAAACATAAAAAATCAAGATAAACAGTCATTTATACATGTTATAATGTCATTTAAAATTGTCCCATTTATACTATACAAATATATTGTGATATTTCCACTCAAATGAAATCTTTTTATAAACAAACCAAGAGCTACATAAATAATGTTTTAAACCAGCTACATCACTGGGTTTTCTTCTAAATGACTGTTTTATGCAAGAAAATTTCAATTGAATTTATTACGGGCAGGCATTTTTATTCATTTGTTTAAATAATCAATTTATAAAACCTAACTACAAAAAAGATAGAAGCCTTAAACTACTGCTTTAAATCAAATGTAATGTATTGAATATCTAGTGTGGGTGTAACATGATATCAATTTATAAATTTAACTTAACAAGTTTACATACCATTGCATAGACAGGAAATGACTTGTCAAATCAGGAACTTAAGAAGACATTTTTTTCAATAACCTTATGAGAAGTATAAATCACTGGTGAGTAAATTTACTCAATATCTATGTTCAAAACTTAAATAAATTTTACTATGTTCTTTAATATATTTTTCTAAAATGATTTAACATGAATAACCTTGAGAGACATTTTCTGTGCCCCACCCACAACTCAAACAGGATTATTTTTTACTTTGTTGGGTTTGGTGTGTCATTAGCAATGTGTCTACCATTTAAAAGTCACAGAAGCCCTTAATATGGTCCAATTTTACCAGAGCAGAAACAATCAGCTTTTGCTACTGGGCTAAAACTGACAATTTTTTAAATCTTGATACCCCCAATATTGATAATGGGCAACTCCCAAAATGGAAGCTAGACAAGTCGATTTGAGAAATTCAGCAGGTTACCGGTATGGTATATTTCTTTTAAGGGAATTGGTATCCTTAGTTTAACAAGAATTATCATAGTATTGCAAGCAATCCATAAGTCCCCTACCAGTAAGAGCCCAAGCAACATTCTGAAGGGCCATTCACTTAGGTTCCTATTTTAAGTAAATTTGTTGAAAAAGTTCTTTAAAAGTGATCACAGGAAACAGTTTTTATGTACAGACAGACGGACTGAAGGTTAAAGTTATTTTTTAAACATCCCTGTTATCAAAATATAACATTTTTAAAATCCTATCATGATTGAAGAAGTTGGAGTAAAAATTACCAATTTCTCAAAAAAAAGTCTAAGTTCAAAAGGGGCATAATTCTGGAAATAGTTTTGCTAGAGTATTGAACACTCACAAATGTTGAGTGACAATAAGAAACATTTATATGAAGTTTGAAGTAGATACATTCAGAAAAAGAAGTTATTAAAAAAAACAATGTTTTTTTCATGAAAATTTTAAGTTCAAGGGAGGTAATTCTGATAAATTTTGTGCTAGAGTTGTAAACCTTGTCACATATGATGTGGTTGATGACAAGCAACTTATACTTAAAGTTTGAAGAAAATACCTTAAGAAATAAAGAACTTATAGTGAAAAAACTTAAAACTAGAATCAGAAATCTTGAAATTCAGTCTATTTGTTGCCATAGCAACCCGTATTTTCAACATAGGAAGATAAAAAAGGATGTGCATAATTTCCATACTGCCATCTACCCATATGTCAAGTTTCATAAACATATTTTCAGTACTTTTTGTGTTATCACTGGATCTAGGTTATGTGTAAAATTTGCCATATTTTCAGTCTATTTGTTGCCATAGCAACCAGAATTTTCAACATAGGAAGAAAAGAGAAAGACGTGCATAATCTCCATACTGCCATCTATCCATATATCAAGTTTCATAAAAATATTTTCAGTACTTTTTGCGTTATGGCGGGATCCAGGTTATGTGTAAAATTTGCCATATTTTCAGTCTATTTATTGCCATAGCAACCAGAATTTTCAACATAGGAAGAAAAGAAAAAGACGTGCATAATCTCCATACTGCCATCTATCCATATATCAAGTTTCATTAAAATATTTTCAGTACTTTTTGCGTTATCGCGGGATCCAGTTTTGTGGATGGACGGACTGACGGACGGACAGACAGACGGACAGACGGACGGAGGGTAAACCTTAAGTCCCCTCTGGTAAACCGGTAGGGGAATAAAAAGCTTTTCACAAAGTAAAAGTACAATAATGACCTTTAGAAAAAAAAACTGTTAGAAAAGTCATTTTGTTCAATTAAAATAAACACACACATTTTCATGTCCACAAAATAAAATGAGTTTACAGCAAGAATTAGACAGAAAGTTATTTTCTTTCAAGTTTCTGTATTCGTTTAGAAGATAAAGCCACTGCCAAACACTTCTAGAATCTACTATTTTCTATTCTAGGTTACATTATGGCTGTGCCTGGTAAAAAGGCATCTCAGAAACTGTCATCTACACTATCTCAAGGTGGTGCTGAAGATTTTGACATTTTCTGTGAAATATGTGACCAAGATGACATCAGACTACCTGCCTTTGGTTATTGTGTGGATTGTGAGGAACATTTATGTCAAACTTGCTTTAACACTCACAGAAAACCAAAACCATTACGCCATCACCAACTTCTAGATAAAGATCACATGCCACATACACAAAACCTCAGTAAGTCAATAAAATCTACTTTAGGTAAAAGAAATGGTGATTTATCCAAGCCTTGTACCAAACATACCAAAGAAGTGATCAAGTTCTACTGTCATGACCATAATACACTTATATGTAGTGTTTGTGTGACCCTTGAACACCCAACAACATCTTGCCATGTTGACTACATATCTGATATATCAGGACAGATTTTAAACAGCATGGAGTTCAAAGAAACTCTAAAAGATATTTACAAACTGACAGACAAATGTTGCCAGATTACAAAAGATATGAAACAAAGAGTTGCTAAGTCAAAAACTTCTCTTGAAGATGCTATAGTAGAAATAGAAAACTTTAGAAAAGAGATAAACAAAAGATTAGATGAACTAGAAAAAGAAGTAAAAAATATTGCTACAAAAATTCAACATAACAACAACAAAATGTTGAAAACAACAGAAACAGTGTGTAATGACATCAACACATCACTCAAAGCATCAGCTGATACTCTAAAACATCTCAACACCAACAAGAAAACTGACCAATTATTTTCTGAATTGAAAATAGCTCAGCAACTGATATTACACAATGAAAATATAACAAAACAACTACCAACAATAAATGATGTTAATGAATACACTTTTGAACCAAATCCAGCAATCAAAAAACTCCTTCAGAATGAGAAATCATTAGGAACATTGATAAAAAAGGAACTAAAGAAACCAGCTCAACCAAAGGATAAAGCTGCATTACCAATGAAAATGTCTACCCCTAGAAACATCAATGTTAAAACATCCTCAGATGAAGTTGATTGCTGGATTACTGGTATAACTGTATCTCCTCAGAACCAATTATTTATAGCAGATTACACTAATTGTTCAATTAAAATGATAGACATAAACAGTGAAACAATCAAACAACTACAGCTTGAATCAGACCCCAGGGATATCACAACGGTGACCAGAGATACACTTGCTGTTACATTACCAAAAATTAAAACAATACAGTTCATTTCCTTCTCCTCAAACTCTTTCTCATTGAAAAACAAACTGAAAGTAGATGGAGAGTGCCATGGAATAAGCCATCATCAGGGGAAACTTGCAGTTACCTTTATATATCCTGGTAAACTCCAAATCATGGACTTGAAAGGTAATATTAAAATTACAGTTGACAAAGATTCCAATGGTGACAGTATTTTCGGTAGACCTTACTATGTCACCACAAACAGCAATTCAATCTATGTATCTGATGAAGGCAAAAAAGAAGTTATGTGGTTTAACTGGCAGGGAGAGATGATAGGAAGGAATGTAGACATTAAAGATCCAAGGGGTATTTCACTGTTAGATGACGGGTCCTTCTTTGTGAGTGATTACTGGACTAATTGTATATATAGAGTAAGTGGTGACTGTAAAGACAGGACAACTATACTGGAGAATGTAAAGGATCCTCACGCTGTATGTTGGTGTGCTGAAACCAGTACACTTTATTTAAGTACAAACAGCAACACAGAGAGAGACAATATTATCAAAATATATAAAATGATTTAGACCCAAGAAATGGTAATCAATGCAGACATAACAAAACATAAACAATTGTAATTAAATGTTAAATGATATGTATATATGCACACAAGTAAAATATGTTCTATTTCATGCTTGTTTTAATTAGAATTAATTTCTAACTAACATTTTCTTTTTCAAATATGCTTTTCTTTGATTTTGTTCATTTTGTAAAAAACATAAATGTCCTTTTTTCAACTTCTACATTTAAATAGAGATGACATAACTTATAAATATATTTATTCTGTAGTAGATGAAAACATGTTTGTATTTGATCAATATAACTGTTAAAAGATTTATCTTAGTCATTATTTTGAAACAAGATGGTAAACTTTGTTTTGTTTTGTTTTTTGTCAAACAATTTGGAGGTCATTTTTTTAAATGTCAATGATCTTGCATGCAAAACTTCAACCAGGAATTTTCTAGTTTCACAAAGGCCTATAAATCAGCTAGATTTATTGTTCTAAAAAAGTCACATTCAGTTATGAACCTGAAGTCATGTGTGAATTTTCAAGTTAATACATTAAGTGATTTTTAAGATCAATCTTACATGCAAAACTCTTATCAGGGTTTTTTTCAAGTTCACAAAGGATTTTTGTTCAGTCAAAATCATTTAAGAAAGGTCATATCGTCGAAATGATTTAACCCTTTAAATGCAAACTGCAATAATACATTACCTTAGCAACCAGTTTAAAGCTGTCCATGCTACTTTTTTTAAAATTTACTTAATTTTGTGGGCATGAAATTTCATGTTTTTTTGTCATTAAGAAGATTTTTTTGTGAATTCTTAAATTCATGGACTGTCTATTTTTCCAAAAGATAAAATGTAAATAATGTGATGTAAAATAATCTTACAGCAAACAAAATGAAATTTCATTGGATCTTAAATTCGTCGACTGACCTATCCACGAAAGACACAAAAATTAGTGCCCCACAAACAGAAATGATTTTGCAGTACATTGTATTCTAAGTAAAAAAAATTTTCATACTAAAACCCCTTAAGATAACAATGGACTGTTCTAAAAGTTTCCAACAGGACAAGTCCATTACACAAATATAGTAGAGACAGGATCAAATTACCTTCATCCAGATAAGGATTATATAGATCTCCCTTGACAACCTCATAGAATGCTTTCATCATGCCATCAAAATCTTCCCTATCAGCTGCTCTAGGTTCTACCATTACACGTTTACGAGTTGTTAACTTATTCCATAATCCTGTAAGCTGTAAATTTAGACGGTTGTGTTTCATGAAAAGTACTTAGTCTAAAATATGTCTTAAGACCAAAACTGAGACAATTTTCGTTTCGAAGAAAATGTCCTTATTTATGACTCCTATGTTAAGACTTTTCAATTATTTCTAAATAGCTATGCTCAATTGCTGATTAACATTTACACATAGAAAATTGAAAAGCATGGCATTGAATTTTTTATCTTTACTCCGGAGAATGACTAAAATAAAAGTAAAAAAAAAATTTTTTGGAACAGTCTTAAATAAGTCCTTTAGTTTGTCATAAGTCCTAGGACTTGGTACACGTAGGACATTTTGTGAAATGCAGACCAGCTCTTATATGATCAGTTACACCAAATCTTTTACAAGAATGATACTTAAGCTGTCTTTGATTCAGTGCAAAGCATTATCAACAAAGTATCGTTATTGGATAACAAATATCGATGATAAACCGATAAATCAATAATTACTCATAATTAGTTGTCTTTGATTCACACCTGTTTAAATGATTTCAATAAAATATATGTTCTGTTCATAGAATTATGATGTGTCTTGTTGTTTTTTGTAAGATCATAATTCCCCCAACCATTTTTGACATCACTGCTTTGAAATATGTCCATTATTAAACAACAGCATAGTTTTAGACATGGACCACTCGCTTCTGTGTGGTTAATTTTTATAATTTCTATACATTTAATTAGTAAATATTGTAATGCCTTAGGGTCAGGGTAACAGAATCTTACCTTATATAAATTTACTTGTATTAGCAGTAAACTTGACTTGTTCAATGATAATGACGTGAGCTGTATTCGAACCTATCTTTCCCATTTTCTTTATTGTTGATAGTAACGAAACATAAAATTGTACGCATACGTGTAGATCAACATAGTTTAAACAACCTATCACGTATAATACAGGTTCATGCTCGTTTAACTTTAATCCGAACGTTGTTCTGTTTTTATCCGGCATATCCGGTAACTGTTCCTCACACAGATGTCCTGATTTTAACATGTAAGTCTTTGTGAATTGATATTTATTGTTGT